ATTAAAAATGTAAATACGAACATGTTCCGCAAATGAACGAGACAACTGATAAGTTCACTATCATATATATATATATATATATGCTCTTAAGAAGAATTTAACCTTGGCTTGCCTTTCAACAGCACAAGGGCAATCATACTCAAAGATCATTAACAAAGTTAATAAACCTAAACAAAGTGATATATATACACTAAATATCCCCTCAGTCATCATACTGGAAAAGTTGCATATTACAAGATCATTCAGACTTACATGTTACTACTGACTGCAGTCTATCGATGCTGTTAAGATCACGTCCAAATATATGTTCTAAAATAACTTATTACAAAAAATCTTAGAGAAGTACGTCAATTTTTGCTAGTGTAAGCAGCACCTATTGTGACTGGAACCTCACACCTTACCTGTTGGCCTTCAGTGCCACTCACACTTCACCTATTGGTAGTCGTCCACTTGCTGGCTAATAAATAAGGTTTTAACTATGTATTACGTAAGTTGTGCACACCGAAAACCTGCACTACTGTTGGGTTGTATATAACGCTTTGCAGCATCACTAACTGCCTAAGCTAAACGAACCCCAGAGCTCAGTTCGTGAGCCTTTTGTGTGTCTGTAGCTGAGGTCATCAGCCTCGGGAGAGGTGACGGGTGTAAGGCAGGACAGCCATAACAAGGTCAAGACTTGACTAATTTACTTATCCTGAAAGAACATTGGGCCCAGTTCCTGAACCCGTTATGAAATAATATTGTACATAGAGTGAGTGAGTGTGGCGTTAAACACACATTAAATAAACAAGGGATAACATCGAGTATATAATGACCAAACCACACATCAGAGGATGGAGAAACGACGTCGTTTCTCCATCCTCTGATGTGTGGTTTGGTCATTATATCTTCAGCCACGTTATTGTGACTCGTCGTCAACATCGAGTATAACTATAATAGTGTATATGCTATATTAAAAGCTGCATATCTAGCAGAACAGCGGTCTGTTATGCAACATTTTTACTTCATTAATGTAGCATGAACCCGCTCATGGAGGAGTCGCACTGGAAGATGTGAATGCCACTTGAATAATGAGATTAAACACTGATGGTTCTGTCCTGTAACCGAATGGGCGAGCAAACACGCTAGGCTAGAGGGCCCTCGACCAACTTTCCTCATTCCAGGAAAGAGTGAGGATCAGAGGACTAAGTGCTCTGCGAAAAACACTTTAACCACTGATCTCACTGAGCACGAAACTTACCAAAGTTAGAAGATGGTAACCCAGATTAAATACGTCTTTACAAAGTTAAATGTGAGACAAAAGAAGCAGCGACTTCAAGACCACGAAGCCCCAATAGAAGGTGTTTTTTCACCATAGGTCTAAGGTAATGAACCCAAAAGGCATCCGACTCCCGCCGAAGCCGTAGGAACGAAGTCAGATCTAAGGTAAAAAGAAAAAAGCAAGAGCCGAAAACTCATCTTCAAGAATTGTGCGATGTTTAGAAGCGTTGGAATTCTGGCAATTAATGGTGAAGATAATAATGGTCAACAGGTAAATCACCCTCGGGTAGGAACTGATTGGTCCTGGGTTTGATTCCAGGGAAGGGCTAGCCTATTGAGCATATTTTCTTACACCCTCTGTTCGCTTAACAGTAAATAGACATCTGAGAGTTAGCGATTGTTGTGGGTAGCATCCTGGGAGGGTCATGTCGTTGGCAAGGGTGACCTCTATGAGGCTTCCTGTTCCCGACTATGGGAAATCGGACGAAATGAAAAACAACGGAAATCGAGGTACTGTCAACATGGATAAATTACCTGAAATCCTTGCACTGTATCCATATTTCACTTCCAGTAGATAAACGACATATGAGATGAAGAAACAAGTAGTGTATTGTGAAGACTAATAATAAACAGAAGCTACCCTATGACTATCTCCATTGGTCAAACTATTATGTATTAGCGATAAGACCTACCATTAATGTATAATGACTTACTGTAAATATATAGCTCTTGAAATAGCACTTTCTCTGTAACTAGCTGACATTGTAACTATAAGGTGTGAAGGATAGATGAAATTGTTTATGTAATAATCTAAGATGAGGTCTGATAATGTGGGAACCGACCTGTTAGATTTATATTTATTTAATTTATATGAATTTATATTTACGTTAATTTATATACTTCGATAGCAATTTGTATAATGATAAGTGGACTGTATTTCTGCAATAATCTCATAATCTCACAAATCGATCCTCTACACATTAGGGGGGTTTATTAAATTTATATATATGCAGCCAATCAAACTACAGTAATAGACTACATACATTATTAAACATTGAAGAGGTTCCTTATCTTATTTGTACAGCAGGCCTTAGTCCACCAGGTATAACCAGGATGTAGACACCACATTTTCCCTCTTTGAGGTAGCTTCCAACACCCTGGTAACTGATGCACAAAGCATGCTTCCTCGTCTTGACCTGTCAAAAGGGCGCTAGCTGTGAAGCTAGAAACCTAGTATATGACAAGCTATATCAGAGAAAACACTGTACATGGAACCTTAAAGACCTGGCTTAATTACCTTTAGTATGAGGCTATCTCGTGCTCTAACCGGATCACCCTATATACTGACATTAATGGCCATAAATGAAAGATAAATGGGTTTCGGAAGAACACTTAACTTGATTTGTTGACAGCGTGTTGATAATGGTACACCTTTGGTTTCCATAACACTTCGTCCAAGTAAAATTAACAGGAGCCGTATTTGCTCCCGTGAGCCTCTGTGGTCTTAGTATCAACAATGGCTGCCACTCCCTCACCCCTGATGCCTGGCTTACATTGTCCAGATGACAGAAAGTGATAGAAGGGTCACATTTACTCTACTTTAATATTGATAATTAAGTTAATTTATATGAGATGTTTTTATGATGGTAAAGTCCAAAGACTAATGTATTTAAGAATAATTCCCACCATAATAGGTGGAGAATTTATAATAGTATGTGGTGATGATATCCCGTTTTCTATAGACGGTAATTCCACTACAAGTTACGTTTTCTATGGTTAACTTGTTTATACAATACAGCAATTATTATCTGTCTGTATGTTATATTAAATGGTATCGGATTTTCCGACAGATAAAGACCTTTTGTGCCCTCTGTAATGCTTTTTGCGCCACCGCTTACAGGATGGGTATGGGGTGCACAATAAACTAGCTGCTTCCGGCGGCAACAATAAAAAAAAATCAAATGTCAGCTATAATTATGTCAGTTACCCTTTCAGTCTTGATGGAAGAAAATGGAAATCCATGCAAGGATAAATAGACTAACTACAATAAAACTCTGTGAATGGGATTTTGTTACCCCTTACTGCCTCAAACCCACCATTGCATAACAAAAATTAGGCATCCGCCAAAAACAATCATAAATTCCTTCCTGAGACAACATTCGGGCCCAGAGGTATGGTCATATCGTACACAGTCGTTTCAACAAAGTTCGCCTTCTATTTTTTGTATGCCCGAAACGCTGTGCGAATTAATGGTTTTTAGGCATAGTATATACCAGCTCTATCTAGAAATCCAACATTCTACTTGTAACTCATTTTGTGTATTTAGGGATAAGTTCATACAAACATTATTATTATTATTATTATTTGATAAAAGCGTATGTATCGTTTAGATTAGGTTAGTCTAAGTTCGGTTACGTTAGGTTAGGTACGAAGCAACCTGTACTCCTGAAGCTCTCGTATTGGTTCACTCTCTTTAAACATACTAAATATCCACGCTCTATATAAGACCATGTCCCTGTACACTCTCTAAGGTCTACTGAACCCGACTTACCACAACACAAACTCGGCATGATAACTCTTCAGATAAAGAAAATCATACTATAATAATAATTATAATAATAATAATTATAATAATACTAATAATAATAATAATTATAATAATAATTATAATAATAATAATAATTATAATAATAATGTTTATTCAGGTAAAATTACATACATACAAAAGGAGTTACAAACAGAAAGTTGGATTTAGACAGTTCCCTGTTATGTGGTATACTAAAATATTGCATAAGTATATAACATCCTCAAACAAACATCCTATAATATACTTATATATCATAAGTATATAACAATTAAGGAAACTACGGGAATCCTATTGTCCCATACAAGGCGGCAGCTCCTGTTTATAACCTCCCAAATTCATTCATATATATGTATAACCTACACTTGAAACAATCCATTGATGACACGTCTATATATACGTGACCTGGTAATTGTTCCATATATTAACCACACGCTCTCCGAACCAGTATTTACCCGGGTCCTTCCTAAATCTAAACTGCTTCAATTTATGTCCATTGTAGTCTGAAGAATAAAAAGCGATTTAATACAGGTATTTATGATTAAATGAACCGATTATTTTGACCCAAAACATACACAGTAATTGTGTAGTGTTCAACGTCACCGGGAACAAAGCAACGTTCTTAGTCCAACGAAGCAAAATAGTTTTTTCTTTTCCCGAGCAATAAACACACGGAGCAGCGTACGAAAAAGTACGATGCAGTGCAGTACTGTGTATACATACACAAATAATACACATTTCTCTTTCAAAACCCAAGCTTTAGATGCTTTATACCCCTCGCAAACTTTCCATACACAAACAGTTTAACAAAGATCTAACTGCCTGTTGCTGTTTGAATTTCTTTCCAAAGATATGACACGCAGAATAAGAATCTCATCGATGTCCCTCGAGTCTGACAACCATATTTTACATTCTATTTACATAAATTAGCCTACGTTATGTAGTTATCTTTTTAGGGGTGTCTGTGGTTCCCTCTCAGACTATCTGTGGTCTTAAGCTCCCTGTGATTTCCTCTCAGACTGCCTCAATTGGCACCCAACCTTGTGGGGGTCTGACCCGAGGAGGGGGGGACAGGGTCGCCCCGGACACCGCCGGGTACAGTAGGACCGGGGCGGTATTATCCCAACTGAAGGCCAAAAGAGTACGACAAATGGGATCGAGCTTTACGAATATTTATTCAAATTAAATATAAAATATAAATTAACACACCAAATAATTAACATATGAACACATATTTATGTTTTTAGGAGTTTGAACCACTCCACGTCACCTGTATAGTGGGATATGTTCTTTTAGATCATAAGGGAATGTATAAGGTTCCCGTCAACGACCGACAGACAGGTAAGACAGGAGACTGGTGGTCAACAGCACGTCTCGGTGCTTGTGTCCAGAATTCTTCTTAACAACTTTCTTCTTCATCTTCTTGAGAGACGAACAGTCGCCCTCGTCTGTACTGTGGCCGGTACTGGCAACACTGCTGCTGCTCCCATAAGCAGGACTGGCGATACTGTTGCTGCTGTTGTAGGGACAGCTGCTGCTGCTGTAGGGACTGGTGCTGCTGCTGCAGTAACTGCTACAGCTGCTGCTGCTGTTGACTGTCTGAGTCCGTGTCTTAGCCTCTAATGAGTCTGTGGATGCAACATAAACTACTGTATTCTCCATCTGTGTTTTGCGTTAATGCGTATATTAATTCAAAGCTGGTAAATGAGCTTATGTGCAAGACAATTAAAAAACTGAACGCCCAATATGTTAGAAATAAGTGAAAGAACTGAAAGTTATTTTTCCGTGTCATCGTTAAAGATTGATATAACAGTTGACAAACTCAGGTATCCACTTTTAAGATGGAAAATATCTAAGAGCAATTGCGTTTTTAAAAAGAATGTGTTCACGATTCTGGAACATGGAATCATATGTTGCTACACAGTTTAAGCACGTTGCTTGAACCACATATCCAGGTATCATGTGGCTGTGCAGACCTCTGTGAGAAGGTGCTGTCTCTCAGTGCTCACCTGTGTGATGGTCTATCTGGACTAGCTGGTCTCTTGGCCTGACCATTCTGACTATTTCACTCTCAAAGAGATCTTCAGACACCCAGGTACCGTGGCAGGCAGACTCAGCAGCGAAGTAGTGTGATGACCTTGCGGTAGAAGGTTGCTCTGGTGGCGCGCGCTCCACGAACTGACAGATGCCGACTTGCCTGACGGTGTGTTCGCGGGCATTTTTATCCTCCGTGGAGCCAACTCGCAGTCTCGGATGATGCGCAGGAGAGTGCGCGGTAACCGGGAGCGGAAGTGACGTAACCAGGGGTTGAGGGTGGTCGGCTGGTGATGGAAGACGCAGTGTGATGATAACGACAAGGCCGGAGTACTCGTCTCAGAGCGCTTCCCGTGGCCCCCTCATGTCATTGAGCTTTATCAGTGTGTACTTTGTTGTGTCTACAGGAAGTGATATCTAGCTCTAGAGCCCCGCCTTCGCTGTCATGCCCTGTCTTCATTTCTCACAACGTTCCAATACTCTTGTCATCTTTGCTTTTGAAGCCAAACCTTATGGCTGCTTCCGCCACCACTGGCTCAAGCTGATTCCATCTGTTTACCTCTCTCATTGAATACGAATATTCCCTTACACTTCGTTAGCTTATTTGTGTTTTTACCTTGCACCTGTTCCGTCTCGTTGTGTTGCCCCACACCTGGACAAAGCTGTCCCACATGTCTATTCCCTTCATTATCTTTTACGTTGTGCATGTGTCTTTCTTTCTTCTGTTGTTTGATATAGTCCTAGTGTCCTGTCCTTGTAGCTCAGCTCTCTTGCCTCTGGTGCTTGTCTCGTGGATATCCTTATACTCAAAATTGTCTTCTTGTAAGTGCTGGGGGGGGGGGTTAACTGGACCCAACCCACGCTTCCCGCCAGCTTGTTACTCTCTCTCTAAGTGTGCCTCCTCTGTTTTCTGTCTGCCAGGTTCTCTTTAGTTCAGTCTACTACTGCCCATTACTCTAGCCTGTTGTTCCAACTTGTGAATCATCATGTTGTAGGGGACAGTGTCAAAAGACTTTTCTCAATCTAGGATGATGTAATCTATCCATAATTTTTCTCCCTGTCGTATCTTGGCGGCTTTGTCGTAGAACGCAACCAGGCTGGTATGCCTTTCTCTCTGTAAACCCTTGCTGTCTCTCTAAACCCTTGCTGTCCCTCTAAACCCTTGCTGTCCCTCTAAACCCATGCTGTCCCTCTAAACCCATGCTGTCTCCCACTTAAAAAGTTAGTCTTCTAACTTTGCTAGTAACACTCGTCTGCAGTTTAAGCCTCAATGAGACAATATAGGATATTTAGCCTATAGAATCGCTTACCCGGCAAAACAGTGAGTGAGAAAGACAGTCATTTATCTACAAATTCAACGGGAAAACTCTTCAGGAAAACTGGTGGTGGTGGTCGGGGTGTACCTTTAACAAGCCGCTGGCTTCCGGTCTCTTTCAAGGCCACTAGTGATAGGGGGAGGGGTGGGGGGACCCTAAGTAAATTGAAATCAATATCTATCTATCCGTCAGTTGCTACTATATATTTCACAATGGTTTCTGTAGTTTCTCAGAAACTTGTACCAGCTCCTCTGGCGTGGTCTTGAAGACCGTCCGGGCTCTCGTCTTCTTTGCAGACTTCTCTGTCGTTTTCTGTTGGGATTGTCGATTTTTCTTTTGTCTGATAACTTGGCCCACTTTATTGTTGATCTTGTGAACTGCTATGGTCATGGCTACCCATTGTCGGGGTCAGGCGTCCTGATAGGCTTATTGCGGTTCTTCTATCTTGATGTGTTTTCGGGGCTTAGCGTCCTCGCGGCCCGGTCGTCGACCAGACCTCCAAATGCTATTGCCTCCAAAAATATGTGCTATTGATTTTACCCAGGCTGCAACCCACAACAGTTGTCTAACTCCTGGTTACTTATTTACTAATTTGCGGAACACGGAGATCGGGTGAAAGGAAATAGCTGTCGATATCTGCCTGTTTATCTGTGCGCACGTATATGGAAATCCTTTATGAAGATAAACATTAGATTAACTGTATCACTAATTGGGTACTACATAATGGTAGATACAAACGAGCTCACACCAGCCCGATAACCACGTTCACCACCAACAGGTGGCAGCAAAGTCGTGCATTGTTACTAAATTTCCCATTTTCGTTACCTCGTTTTCTTTTAACCAAATCTAAGTAATCTGCCTCCTCCCCCCCTTCCTCCAGCCTGCTCGGCCTCTCTGGTTGAAACAATAAACTAAATAAAAAGATATAAATACACTTTGGCTGAGGCTTCAATGTTTTCCAGTTTAACATATGTAATTAAAACTTAACTTTATGGTAAATATGCAAACTTGTCATACATTCAGCATTATCATTTATTAATAAAGAAGTATACAATATAAATATATAAATACAAAATGTTAAATCATTACTTGAGGCGTTTGAAGAGCTACAATAACTCCTAGTTACGTGCTATATTTAACGCCCAACACAACATCTAGACAATCACCAGCAAATCTACATAAGAGCTGTGAGAGGTATACCTTTGAGAGTATACCTCTGAGAGGCAAACCTTTGAGAGTATACCTCTCAGAGGCAATTAAGCTCCGTTTAATAAGCAAAGAGCTGTAGTTAACGATAAACAGTCAAGCAGTACAGAGAACTGGAGATTTTGCTGATCCAGTCTTCCTTTGCTGGTGCTTTGCTTACAGTCTCCTGCTTAAGATGCTGCTGCTTTGTCTTGGGAGATGAGCTCTTGCCTTCGTCTGAGCTCCTGCTGTGACTACCGCTGTTACTGCTCTTACAGCTCTTGCTGCTACTGTTGTCGTAGTAAGGTGCAGTGTTGGTGATCGGGTGTGGCCAGAGCCACTCCTCCAACACACCTGTGTACACACACACACATATATATATAAGTATAATCTTCATCAGTTGTCATTCTACAATCCAAAAATGTATATAAGAGCAAGTAAAGAGCTTTTGCTACAATCCTGTTAAAGAGATTTTCGTGTTGTGCAAAAATGAAGAGTTAAGAGAACTGAATAAAACCAGGCAGCGAGGGAACTCTTCAGTAAAGTCACTAAGGAAACAACGCCAATTTAGTTTAGTTCATTTATTATGCACCCCATACCGGTCTTGTGGGCGGTAGTGGAAAGGGTTACAGAGGCACATAATGGGCTCAGGGACTGAACCCCACAATTCATTCATTTCGTCACATCAACAATGTGACGACTTATATTGAATTTTGTAACTAGATCATCAAGATTGTAAGCCAATGCAGGCGATGAGTCACAATAACGTGGCTAAAGTATGTTGACCAGACCACACACTAGAAGGTGAATTCTCAATCAACTTGAGAATGGTCCAGGACGGACTGAACCGTCGTCGTCCCTTCACCTTCTAGTGTGTGGTCTGGTCAGCACACATCGCCAAGTCAGGAATGAAGAATATTGCTTGAATATTATACACATTTGTTCAAGTGTAACCTGAGCGCGTAAGACGCACGTGATTCTCCTTCAAGCATTTACAAGTGGATATATATAACCATCTGCCGCTCCAAGCAACAGCCTAGTGGACCAAGCTCTCACAAGTCAAGCCTGACCTCGGGCCGGGCTTGGGGAGTAGAAGAACTCCCAGAACCCCATCAACCAGGTATCAACCAGGTATCTTCACATCTGGTATGTGTGTGTGTGTGAGCGTCGTTGTGTTTTCTTAAATGTATCCACCTAGTTATATTCACCTAGTTGTGCTTGCGGAGGTTGAGCTCTACTCTTTCGGCCCGCCTGTTAATTGTCAATCAATCAACTGTTACTAACTACTAACTATTTTTTTCCACACACACACACACCCCCAGGAAGCAGCCCGTAACAGCTGTCTAACTCCCAGGTACATATTTACTACTAGGTAACAGGGGCATCGGGGTGAAAGAAACACTGCCCATTTTGTTTCTGCTATCACCGGGATCGAACCTGAGCCCTAGGATTACGAGTACAGAGCGCTGTTCATTCAGCTATCAGCTCCCTCCCCCACCCCAGATGAGCCTGGTGTATAAATAAGATATATTTCTAAACTGTCGTGAATATGATTACAGCAATTTGAACACTCACAAAACTGCACAGAACACGGCTATTATAACCGTCCTCGGAGGGCAGAGACTTACGATCCGCGAAGAGATCGTAAGTCTTTGATAAACAAAGATGGAGGGAGACCAACCTGGACAACTGAGCAGCGGCTCCAACATATCTCGCTGCTTCACCATCCTGTTACAGCTGTTCGCGACTCTTATTTTTATATATATATAACATGCGGATGGTTTGCCTTCCTGGGAAGTCTCTGTGGCGGTCCTGAAATCTTAATGAAGATTTTCAATGCTCTCTTTCAAGTTGCTGAAGTTATCCGTCGTGGAACGATCAATTTCTGGGTGCAACTGCTATACCAGATGCCAGGTTCTACCTCCGTGTATCGGGTTGGTGTGTGTGTGTGTGTGTGACAATACACGAACTCGGTTCATCTTTTATACAACCCCCTTTGGGGGTTAGCATAACTTACAGCCCTGAATGATGCGTCGTGGACGATGCGCAGCGACAATTTATAGAAGGACGCTGTTTAGTTTGCGCAGGACTAGGGAGGGTAGGGAGGGGGGGGGAGGGGGGATGTTGATAAGGGAGTCAATGGGTCCTTTGTCTGACATTGATGTTGAATGCTGCTCAGTTCTGTGACCTTGTGCTATTCAGCACAGTTGTCAGCATATGTGTGTGTGTGTCAGCATATGTTGTCCGAATGTCTGTATATACTTAAATACCTAAGTATATTTATGTGTATCTGTGTCCACTGTACTCACCCTCCAACTAGATGAGTACAGTGGACACAGGTACACAACTATACTTAAGTATTTAAATATATACAGACACTCGGAAAACATTATTTGTATGTGTATTTGTTTCCGTGTATATACGTATGTGACCATTAAAGTTCGTGTGTTTATATGAATACATATATATATATATATATATATATATATATATATATATATATATATATATATATATAAAATTTGTTAAGAGTCGTGTACACACACACACACGTCGTCCAAAGGTATGCTACTAGACTAGTCCCAGAACTAAGAGGCATGAGTTATGAGGAAAGGCTGCGGGAAATGCACCTTACGACACTGGAAGACAGAAGAGTAAGGGGGGACATGATCACAATCTACAAAATCCTCAGGGGAATCGACCGGGTAAACAAGGATGAACTATTCAACACTGGTGGGACGCGAACAAGGGGACACAGGTGGAAGCTGAGTACCCAAATGAGCCACAGAGACGTTAGAAAGAACTTTTTCAGTGTCAGAGTAGTTAGTAAATGGAATG